ACGCTTACTCTGTGTTCCAACGATTTGACCACCAGTATATAAGTTTCACACGAAAGACTGCGTAACAGAACGCTCTCCAATCCCTTTGCGTCCATTGCGTTTTTCCCTCTCACCGCACTCGTGCTGCAAACAATTGGAAGATGTCCCATCAGAGTTCGCTGGCCGTGGCGGTGCTCCTGCAGATGACGCAATGATTGGTGCTTCTCCTTCAAACAATTGCTTTCTTCTGCCACGCTTGCCCACCGAGCAAAGTTTCATCGGAGACTCCGTGGGTATTGCTTGTTGTACAAGTCGCTTGTGCGCGTGCATATTTCCTGTCGCGACGCTATTTAGTTCACACATCATTCCTAAGCGGCGCTTCCAACGCGACATTTTGCCGACAAAACGTAACCTGTCTAGAAGTATTTTTGGATTCCTTTTGTTCTTACACATGCCCTCCACATTGCCCGAGAAGAGATAAGGTGCACGGCCCTCACTTTTCCAACGCGGTATTACAAATGCTCGATATATCGCTCAATCCCCTCCACCTGCCACGAACCGTTACGCAGGAGAATGTCGATAGCGCGTCGCGCAACAAGTCGAACTAGATGGTTCTTTTTTGCAACTAAACTGCCCTCTCACAATGCTAACATGAAGTAAAATTACTGCGCAAGTCGCGCTTGACTTGCTGTTCCTTTTCCATTTGACCGTTATCAGCCGTAATTCCCCAAACAGGTTTACCTGTGAGCGGTTCTTACTCCTTTTAAAGGGGTGCATGCTCGGGCCGGATGATTTTGAGTTTGTCTCCGGGCTTGTGTTCCTGGCCGCATCCAGAGCTTACTGGGAGACAAGTGGGAGACAAATGGGAGACAAGCCTGAAATCATGCGGCCAGAGCACTGAGAGCATCGAGAGCTTACTGGGAGACAACTGGGAGACAAGTGGGAGACAAATGGGAGACAAGTATGAAATCATGCGGCCAGAGCACTGAGAGCATCCAGAGCTTACTCGGAGACAAGTGGGAGACAAGTGGGAGACAAGTGTGAAATCATGCGGCCAACCTTTGAATCTTGTATGTGCGTCTACATGGTGGACTATAGTTTTCTTCCTCTAGGAAATACTGCTGGCCATATTGTTCGGAGATCTCATTTTTGAACATTGCTCTGTTTGGGGTCTACGCTGGTATAATTTTATTACCTCCTCTCTCCGACAGTGATCCGGCTTCCACGGGAAGCGAGAAGCGGGCGCACCACATGTTCACTTTGTCTTCGCCCTCTTCCCTGTTCTTTTTGTTCTTGCCTTGCTTTCCAGACATGTTTCTAAAAGTTTGTTCGGCCGGTTTCTGTCGTTGTTTGCTTTCTGTTCGTTTGTTTCTGTGAGCGACAAAACAAAAGCCCCGTGCGTCAGTCACGCACCATTTCTTGAGCCAAAACGCGACTGGTCATTTGACCGGTTGACACCTTTCATGGTGACTGCACATCGAAAACCACATGTCCCACAGTTTCGTTTTCTTTCTTTGTTTCTTTGTTTCTTCGCTTTATGTTTCACCCTGCGCGAGTTTCGGTTCTACCTGGTCTTTTTCCAAGATGGCCTTGGTGCTTCCGTGGAACATGGCACAACCACCCCTGAACCTGACGCCAAACTTTATGAAGCTTTTGTGAAATTTGATTCCGGTTTTGGGGTCAGATTCATTTACAACACGCTGAGGACATCGACCGACTAAAGGCTATTTTGGCATTGGACAGCTTCGTGCGCCTCGTCATCAAAACAATGTGGGACATGGGAAGTTAAGGGAAAGGAATCCAACAAGCTGCATGAGTTTGATTTGGCAACCCCCGCCCATGGAGCTTTCATTGCACGAAGACCATTGAGTGTCCACGACAGCTGCTTTTGCTTGAACGAGCGGGGCTGCGAACGATCAGCTGAAATCTTGAACGGCATGGCCCGAGAAACCTTCTTTGCCTTCATTGGAACTCCCTTCATCCCAACAGGCTGTAAAGGCGTCAAAAAAGAGCAAATCCTTTCACCCAAGCTTGAGCCGCGTGCTCTACAGTACAAACACGGTGGCACTTGTTGGTCGACCTTTCTATTCAGAATTGCTGGCTCTATTGTGGAATGTGTGGCAAAAACGTTCTCAAACCTTCCGCGCTCAAGGTGCGACGATTGGAAGATTCAGCCTGGCCTCCAACTCCGTTGGTTCTTGTTGCTTTCCTGCAGCATGAGACACTGGTATGTCACTCGGCTGAACTGAAACGCAATATCCTTTGCTCAACGATAGAGCAGAAAGATTGGCTTGGAGTTGACGTTGAAAGGAATTAAGCTACAGCAGCCTCTCTTAGAAACGACAGTTGGAGGCCATCGCTAGTGGGTTCGAGGCCATTCCTGTTTGGTTGTGGTCCCTTTCAGTCACAAACACCAAAAGACTTCACGCCTCCCGTCAGAAGAGCTTTCCACAGTCAAGATGTACTCCGAGATGTAGGTGTGCCTGGCGGGGCTTTCGGGTATAAGTTTTGTATGTTCAGCCTTTGTTTTCAAGTGCCCCAAAACCAGATGAGATTTTTCGGATGGATTGAGTGCACTTGCCCTTTCCACAGAAGCTGGCGGCAGGCCACCCAAAATCTTGAGTGGCAATCCGTTGAATTCAATCAGAGTGTCCCAAAAAGTACGATGGTTTTTGCACTGAGAGATCTTGAACGCAAATGTAAACCCCATAAGGCTGCAGGCCTCCTCCGATCAATGAGACACTCTCCAGGGCCACGATATACTCCAGGATGTAGGGACGCCTGGCGCGGCTCGTAAGATAGGGCCATGAACGCCAAGACGTAGGGCCTGACGAGCTTTGAAAACACCGTGTTTAAGTTGGTATACAGGGCATTTTTCAAGGTCTGTCGTGGGTGCTTCAGATTGTATAGTATAGTGTTCTCTGATCTTGAACCCGGCTGCAAGCCTCCAATGTCCAGGGTCAACCAATGGTGCACAAGCTTGGAATGACCTGGGCCGGCAAATGCGCCATCCAAGGAAAATTGACACTGGCTGGGCATGCAGCTGGCTGGTGTTCTTTTGGCTGGGCATGCAGCTGCTGGTATTCTTTGCGCGACGCTCTTCGAGAGACTCTTGTTTTGCAAGCTGTTTGGCCGTTTGCATCCCTACAGCTAAGCTCATCAAGCTCCACAGGTGGCGACCAAACAAAAAGTGCACCTCTTTGACATGTTAAACGTGTTTGTTGAGAAGGGTCGCCCTATCCACGAAAGCTTAGATGTCAAACTTTGGCACCTCCGTTTTTGGAGATGTTCCCGGATTCTCTAGTCATAGAGACCCCATTCAAAACCAAACCATCTAATCAAGATCGCACGGCCACTTTGCCCGGGGCTTTGCATGAACCCAAGCTGAAATGACAGTGTCGAATTTCTTCCAAGTACATTGACCCTTACCACTGTTGTTTTTCTCACCAGCTGTCCTCTTGACAACAAACGCCACAACTACCTGCGTTCTAGGCGCTGACACTTTTCCAAGTCGCAAGCGCTCCTTCCATCGGTCCCAAAACCCAAAGGAAGTTGTTTTGAACTGTTTTGAGCGCAAACTTGGCTGCATGGTAAGCAGCAGCGTTAGTTGCAGCGAACTGCAGCACTGAAATTCAATAATTTCCTCTGCGCACACTTCAGCTCAGGACCCTACGCCCAAAGAGAGGCGCACGCCTGTGTGGAAGTGAGATCGAGGAAAAAAGTTGCACATGGAGCTGAGAGCCAGATCCGCAGCCTGCGATCCGATTAGTATTCGACGCGAGCAGTACCAAGTGTGCCAAGAAATGAAACGTGCCACAAACCGTTAGATGGTGCTGGTGATTGATATGCTGGGCACCCAAGTGAGGGAATTGTAGCCGTGCTACCTTAATCGAACTCCTCAAGCCTTCTCACATCAGTTATCTCCAACATCCGTCCTCTTATGCCATACAGAGTTGGCAGCGCTTCACACATTGCACAAGCATCAGCAACAGTTACGGCATCTTGAAGTTCCACTCATACATACTATGCAGACTAGCCTATGCACCAACAACATAAACCCCAACGTGACTTCTAACATTAACTCTAACATCCAAATTCCTGTATGGCAGAAACGAGTGTTTAAAGAGGCCTTCAGCAGGTGTAAGTTTTGCTAGTATTCCAAAAACCAAACCGTGTTGATTCAATGTAGACTGTTAGCACAACCCCCCCCCAACATGCGCGTAATGAAGTAATTAACTTCGAACACCTTTCCCGGTTGCCCGGCCACACCGGGGGTTGCCTGGTACCAGAGTCAAAAATCGCAGAAAGGTGTGACGAAGTTCCTTCATTACGTGCGTGTTAGGGGGGGGGTTGTGCTAACTGCCTACATGGAATCAACACGGTTTGGTTTGTGCTTCGCTGTTTCGCCGGTTTTCAACCGGCGGTTTCCCGGTTGGCCGGCTCAACCGGCGGTTGCCCGGTTTCCCGGTTGGCCGGTTGGCCGGCTCAACCGGCGGTTTCCCGGTTGGCCGGTTGAACC